ATTTTGTACAGTTTTTTTTCTTCATATTTTTGGAATGTATTCTCACTGACAAGACATGACAGTCTTTGGTTAATTTTTTTTCAGGGCAGGGTTTTATTATTGAAGACAGAAATTGCTAATGTTTTTTAGTCAAACAGCGCAACCTGTTGTCGGCTAGACACAAGTTCATGATAGTCTTGTAGTTCAGTCTCATAGGAGTGTCAGGGAAAAAAAGGGCCTCTGAGAGATTTTTGTCTACCTACTTTATGTACACAGCAGCATTTTTTTAGTGTTTTAAATTAAACTGACATCTGTTTCTTGTAAAACTCAAATTTGATCAGTTTTCTGTAATTTATTTTACGAGTATGCAGCTCAGTTTCTAGTTTTAACTAAGTACACTTTCAAGAGCTCTGTTTAAAGGAATTATGGAAATCAGTCAACCTTACAAGACTTCCCTTTTATAAATATAGCAAGCCTAATGTTAGAGTGTTCATAAAAACAACAAAACATTACATTACAAATACAAAAAGTTGACAAAGGGCTCTTGTGCAAAGAAGTTACCAATGATGAAGACATTATTTCAACAGATTTTGCATGCTACATTAGTACCATAGGGCCATCTAGTGGCTTTGTAATAAAACAACATAAAGAGGCTTTCTGATGTAAGATCAGATATGAAACTGAGGGGAATGTATTCTGTGATTTGCAAGATACGTCCAAACAATCTGTGTATAGTATTAGTACCATACAGTGAACAACCTTAAAACAAAAGATTTTTGTTTCTGATTTCTTTGGCTTTTGGTGTTTAGCTGCTGATTAGAATTCACTTGCCATTCAGCAAGTCTTCAGCTTCAATGTGTTAAGAGAGATCACAGCACATATTAGAGGCAAAATCATGCCTATCTTCAAAAAGCGCTGGTGTCTTTTCACCCTTATTATTTGTTTTGTACACAAATGAGTGCCGCAGCCAACATGCAGGGCGTCACATTGTCAAATTCGCGGACGACTCGGTTTTTGTGTCCTTGCTGAGCAGTGATGACCCTGATCAGTGACTTGTAGTGAAGGAATTCACAGACTGTGTAGGTCTTCATTTTTTTAAAAATATGTTTTTGGACTTTTCATTTAGAGCAGTAGATAGACAGGAAAGTGGGAGAAGAACAGGGACAGACATGCAGCAAAGCATCGTGAGCAGGAGTTGAACCCACAACCACTGCGTTGAGTAACTATAGCCCCTGTTCATGGGTCACCTGCTCAACTAGTTGAGCTATAGGGGTGCCCAGGTCTTCTTTTTTAAATATTAATGTAGAGAAAACAAAAGAAATGCTTCTTGACTTTCAGGGTGTCTCCTGTCAGCATTGAGAACCAAGCAGTGGAGCGGTCAATCACTACAAATACCTTGGCACTCACTTTGATGACAAGCTGTCCTTTGTTTGATGCTGTGTGCAAGAAGGCTCATCAGCGCATGTATTTTTATAGGAAGCTTTGTAGTTTTAATGTTGACAGTACTTGCAAATGTTTTACTGTTGTTTTATTGAATCCATCCTGACTTTCTCTTTTATTTGTTGGTACAGCTCCCTTTCCCTAAAAAATAAAAATAGATTGCAGAGTATTGTAAGAATGTGCAGCAAAATTGCAGGGATTAATCTGAATGCCCTCTCAGCCCTGTACCAACACAGAACCTTAAGTAAGGCCAGTTCAATCCTTACGGATAAGAGCCACCCCCGCTTAGCTCACGAGTTCCTGCTGCTTCTGTTGGGGTGCAGATACATCCTGCCAAAATGCAGGACTAACACGTCCAAATATTCTTTTGTTCCTGCTGCCATTGCCCTACTGAACAAGTCACATGACTTTTTTCTTTTTTTTTCTTTTTCTGTTTTTCCATTTATCATTGTCTTTTTGCTACTGATTGTTGTTTCTGTGTGATTGTTGCACTGATTGATTGTTTCAAGGTGCTTTTTAGTCTTTAAAATCTTAATGCCTTTTGGCTGTTGTGTTTTGCTTCATGATGGGTGTGGTGTGTTTGTGATGGTGTGCAGTGTTTGGTGTCATAGTCTGGTGGACAAAAAGTTCATCAGACCAAAGAATCTGACTTCATATTCTCCCACATGCTTTCTGTAGAGCTAAAGAGATTTATTGCAAGCGTTTTTTAACTATGTCTTTCTTTTTGCCACTCTCTCATAAACCTTCAGCTGATGAAGAACAGGCAACGGCTGTTATATGCGCAGTCTGAATAATCTCAGTCACTGAAGCGTGTAACTCCTTCAGAGGGGTCATAGGTGTCTTGGTGGCCTCCCTCACTAGTCTGTCTCTTGCACGGTCAGTCAGTTTTTGAGAATGATCTGCTCCAGGAAGATTTACATCGCCTGGCCAGTGGGTGGAGCTGTGCGCATTGGATGTCGGGGGCTGACATCAGTTGCCATTAGAGTGAGGCGTCAGACGCACAGCAGCACCGACGTGGAGGACTGACTGGGTTTGTTTTGTGGTTTCTGCAGGAATAAATATTAATGTGCTACACAAAGGATTGACCACCGTGTCATTCTTAGGAGTGTAACATATCCACCTCCTGACTTATGTGTGTCCATAAACTTTCCACAGAATTGCTTGTGTCTAGTTCATGATGTAGTCCTAGTAAGGAGTACTGATTCACCAGTGACTGGATCTTCAGATACAGGTGTATTTAGTCATTAGAGACACATTCACTGTTCACAGATGACCTCCATTTCACTAATTGTGTGACTTTTATTACTTCTTTTACATTTTGTAAGTTTANATTTTGTATAGTGCTTTTCAAGATACTCAAAGTCGCTTAACAGGGTATAAGATAAAAACAGGAACAAAACAAGTTGAATAAAAAGCAGATAAAAAACAAGGTATAGAAGGCAGGTAAAAATTAAAAATAAAAGCGTTAAACAGTTAAACAATAAACGCAATCTCTAAAAGGTGAGTTTTCAAAAGGGACTTGAATTTGTGGAGGTCAGAACAGTGTCGGATGGGAGATGGAAAGGACTTCCAGAGGGTGGGAGCAGCAGCAGAAAAAGCTCTGTCCCCAAAGGTTGGTGCTCGGCCCTTGGTGGTGGAATTGAGATGGTCTGGGATGAGTTGGACTGCAGAGTGAAGGAAAAGCAGCCAACAAGTCCTCAGCACCTCTAGGAAGTCCTTCAAGACTGTTGGAAAACCATTCCAGGAGACGACCTCGTGAAGCTGATTAAGAGAATGGCAAGAGTGTAAAAGCTGTCATCAAAGCAAAAGGGGGTTACTTTAAAGAATCTAAACTATAGAACATATTCTGATTTGTTTAACACCTTTTTGTCTACAATATAATTCCATATGTGTTCTTTCATAGTTTTGATGTCTTCAGTATTAATCTACAATGCAGAAAATAATTAAAATAAATAAAAACTGTTGAATGAGAAGGTGGGTCCAAACTTTTCATTAGTACTGTATAAAACATTTTAAACATGTGCTTCTGTGGACTGATGAAGACTGTTTTGTTTTTGTGGCTGCTGTTAATTCCTAATTGCGCAAAGTACAAGTTTTATTGTCTTCTTTTTTTGTCATCAGGCCAACCTATTTATGACTGCGCAGACAGAATGAGGACAACCACAGTCCAACCAACACCTCTGCAAACCTGCCACGCCACCAAGAACATCCACTCTGACACACGAAACCAGTCTCTACAGCTCAATCAAACTGATCACAATCTGTTTTTCAGCAGGTTAGACTATATGCTGCTTTTTATTCCTTCCAAATGGATTAATATCAAAGGTGTTTGTTGTCTGACAGCCTCTCACATCTTTGTTTCTCAGGACATGGAGTGGGCTGCCACTCTGGTATTCAGTGCTGCGCTGGAGTTCTTTTGCATCCCTGTTGATAATTCTGTGCATAATTCTTAAATGTACAAAGACGGGAACCAAAAAATATGCCAAGAGGAGGAAGAAGGTTCGTTGCAGGCAGAATCGCCATTTGGCTCATTGACCTGTTTTATACAGGAAGTTATTTGTGATGTTGGTTTTGTGGATTTATTACTCACCGAGTTTCTTTGATAAAATGTGTCTTTTTCAGCTGTGGTGAGAGTGCGCTTTATTCTGCTGTTGTCAACTAAAGGGAGACGAATTTGTAACTACAGTACGAATGTTGCACAACTCATAGGTCGTTGATTGTACG